CCGCCGGCCCGTAGACTCCCGTTTCGAAGTTATTGGTTGATGGAGCGTTTCGCATTCAGATCGAGTAGATATATAAGTATGTTTACAAGGTGTTTTTGTGCATGAATTTCCCACCAATAATCGCTCGCATTACTGTCTCTCCGGAGTCTGGCGATCGGAAGAGTTGGGAGTGGGAGCAAGCAAGCCAAGGAAGCTTCCGCGGAATATGTAAACTCATGAGAAATCACTCATCTTGGCTGCCCGAAGCAGTGCGGTCGAGGGCTTTATAAGTTTACTCTACTCTTGAGTCTAGATTACGGTATATGGGTTTCGGGTTTGCCGCTCGAAATAGCGAGCCGAACGACCGACAGACCCCTTAAACTTTTGGCTGAATGGCCCGAGCCCAGTGATGAAAAGCCCGACGCTCTCATACATAACGGGTGCTGTCTCGCACTGTCGGCTGTGTTCTCCTCGAGCTTATACCAACTATGGGTAGCCCGGGGGGCGTCCGACATTAACCGCCGCCACAAACCAACACGCACGCACTCCAACAGCGATTCAACCGCCGTGAGGGCAGTGAGGCAGTGAGGCAGTGAGGCGTAGAACCCACCCAGCGTCAATGTGAACGGTCGCCGAGCAATCTTCACCGGTGCCCCTTTTCAATGCGATCGCGATAACTATGGTAGGTTGAAATCACCGGGCCGGCGCTCATGCTTCCGACGAGTGGGAGGCCTAGAGTACTCTAGAGTACCTAGAGTACCTAGAGTAAAGTATGTAGAATGTCTTGGTCCGGCGCGTGAAGCCCAACACTCCTACTCATCAGCCATCTCCTATTCGCAAAAGCCCAGATTACTATAAACGTCCGTGTCGAACGAACCAAAAAGTCAAGACTTTTGGAAATCCATAGTTATGTATCCACAGCAAAGAAATATCCGACAATCCACCGGTATCTGCAGGTAGTTCTAACTTCTCGCGCAACCACCCGATGCCAATACTCGTAGTTATATAGCAGAGTAGAGCATAGTCGATCCCACATCGTCCGAAGTTCGAACCAACGGCTGGCAGCGGCAAACCCGCACAGGCCCGCAGGCAGGCACGCGGAGAGTCCCGTCCGCCAAGCCGCGCGCGACGATGGATTCCCGCGGAGTGCGAGCCAAGGGACGTAAAGTACCAGGTCAAAAGTTCTCGTGCACCTCCCCAAAACCGCCACCACACCACAGACATATATCTCTATAACATAACAACCACACTTAAGAGAGTACTAATAATTGGCATATATCATGAATATATACTAATAAAGCTTCAATGAGATTTCCAGCTCGCCAGGAGGAATATTTATGCGAAGTACGGTGGCTTGGCGGATTTCCCTTTCACCGAGGCAGGTCATTTCCCGCCATAGATACAGCAACCATAAGGTGGTATAAAAATGTGTGGGCCATTAGAAGGTCTTCTAAATCAGATAGAGAACCTCGATTAAAATCGGCACATAATTCTAACTGGTGGTGGTTGAGTAATGCCGTATGGGAGAGAAGTTGGTGTTGATACTGGTTGTCACGCAATAATTTTGTATGGGGGCCCCACACAAAATCCGAAATCACTCTCCAACCCGTGCACAACACCGTACCATGCGCCACCAATCCGAAGCAAAACTCGTCAAACCTCTTATATGTGATGCATCTTGCGATTTTAAAGCTTCTATGAAAGACTCGATTTTTTTCGCCACGTGAAGGGTGGGTTTTGGTTACTTAAAAATGGGCATTTTTGCTGTAAAACGGCCATCGTACGAAAACTTTTGACCTAGTACTTTAGTTATGTGGCCATCCGTCAGCGCAACCCGCGAAAACGCCGCCGCTCGGCGATCCGGCAATCCTGGAATCCGGGAATCTGGGATCAGCTACTAATTCCTCAACCGACGACGACCCGCTGCCCGTTGCCAAGCCAGGGCGGCTCGCAGAACGCGAAAATGTGAAACTGCGAGGAAAAACTATCCGAGAAAGTGTGTATGTAGGATCCACCGTGGGGGCCCGTGGGGAAGAAACGTGATGCGGTTGGGCGGCTGTACTCTGTTTGGTACCTCCGCGGGCATGTCGATGAAGAGGATTCAAGAGTAGAGTAGGAAGTGTACCGGTACCTGTATCCGGATAGAGGAGATGGGTACGCTATGTGGTAGGTATTGATAGACCCACGACCGGGTACGAGAAATGTAGAACGTGATTCAATTGGAGACAGAAAAGAGATTTACCTATGGAATTTTAGGAATGTCTGTTGTGTCATGCGTCTGTTGGACTCTATTGAACAAGAGACGGACCGGCAAGATGAACAGAAAATCGACAGAAAACAATTCAACGTTCAACGTTCAATAACCGCATCGGGTCTGCATAAGGTCCACCTCCATAACATATAGGTCCCATCAGGTCCCTATGTACGAGGTCTCTTCTCTCCGGTGCTCACTGATGTCGCCAAGCAGCCTTTTCCTTCGCGCCCCTCAGTAGGCACTATCTACTTGCCTACGTACGTACGTCATACCAGAGCTTTTGCTCGTCCATCCAATGTAGCGGCACGGAACATTCCGTCGTGAAGCGTCGTGGACCGTGGTACAGAAGAGAAGAGAAGTGGTACAGAAGAAAAGTGCGCAGAGACGACGCACGCCACGACGACGGCTGAAAGGGCGGATTCCGAATGTCCGAATCGATGCTGCATCGCCACAGTGCCGTGCCACAGCCACATACATACTGTAAGTATCGTAGAACCGCGCACAAAGGGGAGTGACGAAGAAGATGAAGAAGAAAAGGGGAAAGAAATATAAGAGCCGTGGGTGAGTGAGTACGTATGCCCCCCCAAAGCCCGACTTGCTGATAGCCGCGGCTCACGATGCTCGGCGGAGTCTGCTGTGGGCGTCACGACTACCTCTGCCCAGAACGAACGGACGAATGCTGGTTTGAAACCAACCTTCTTTTGCACAGAGTCGGCGATCGATCCGGGGCTGAAAGAGGAGTCGACTTCGCTATTTGCAGCAGAGTGGCCGCCTTCGCCGCCGCCGCCGCCGCGATGTATGTATAATACCATATCATATATGTGCGGGGAAAGCTCTAGATGCGGAGCTGGGTTGACCGTTGCGGAGTCGACAATACGATCTATGCTATAGAGTATGGACGCGTACCGGTCATAGGTAGTATATGTTGGAAGCACAATGCAAGTTAAAAGTTCGAGATTGAGCGCGTCGTGAAGTTGGAACAGTTGCCTGGAAGCCTGGAACAGTTGCCTGAAATTAAAAAAAGCACTGACACCAACTAGGTCGACTCTGGCCAATCACGCAGAGTCGAAGAAGAAGAACAGGGCGGATGGCTGTGCGAATTGCGAACACTGTACGTACCGTACTTATAGGTAGGTGTAGGAATGTATAAGAGGAGTGTGCATGTTCCATCGAAAGTCATCGCGAGACCGCAGACTGGCTGTGTGGCTTATGTACGAAGCAAGTGGGTGGGTAGGCAGGCGCCGGTGGGTATAGGGCAGCGAGTCGTGTCGACGCCGACATTGACGGAAATACCTATCGTCACGGAAGGCGGATTCGCATTTCGGCTGGCGGAATTGCCATTACATCACCGGCGACCGCAACCAACAGTCAACTCCGAAGTCCTTACGCGGCCGCTATGTACTCTATAGTGCTAGTAGTTATAGGTTTCCGTGAGAATACATAGAGTACTTGCGAGATGGGATAGGTGGGTATGGCATATCGGTTGGAGTTCAGCTCGGAATAGAGTGGTGTTTTCGGAAGAGTTTTCCCGACAGAGAGGGGGCGATCCGATGCGATAGCCTCTTCAACTGACTCGGCCGAGCATTATTGGGTTCGAGTCGAACAGGCACCGGACGCCGCGCGCCCAATGCTCCCTATGATCTATCTCAGGATACGTGACCTATGCATATTCGTTTCCAATGTTTTGTTGATCGGATTTTTTCCATCTCTTTTTTCCATCTCTATTTCATCTTTATTTTTCCTTTTTCCTTTTTCCTTTTTCCTTTTTCCTTTTTCCTTTTTCCTTTATCTTTTATCTTTTTCATCATTTTAAATCCTTATTATTAAATTTATTTATGTCACACATCAAGGAACCACCCCGTCCTCGCGTCCAAATCACAAGATGCTCGGGCGACCTGCCCCTCGGGGGAACGGGATTTCCGCGTGCTTTGCTTTTTTTGGAGGAAAAAAAGGAGGACGCCGGGCAGTCAACTTGGTCGCCTCCCTTCTCATCTTGCTCGCATTGCCCCTTCCCCCCTCCGATAGCGCAGCGCCGCTCCCGTTCGTGCGAAGTCACGGCCGCGCCTATTGAGAATGCAATACGTAACATCTCCAGAGCTCCGAATAATTATCTTTCCCACACTTCGGGGTTCCGCGCGGTGATCGTCGTTTCGCTTGGTGGCTTGGTGAAGAACAAAAGTCTTGGAGTTGCGCCCGTTGACAGCGCGCGACCTCACTTGACAGATGTCCAAAAGCTTGGGCTGTCGGCCAAGCTGGCTAAGACGTACCGCAGGTACGCCCGCCCCCCTTCTGCGACGGCGCTGAGGTTTTGGCGGCGGCCTCGTTCCCTTCTTCGGACCATTCGGTCGCTTGGGGGGGCCCGTCGCAGGTCGGAGGATGGGCAGAGCGTCATGCCGCTTATCCTAACGGGGGTCCCATCTCCTGCGGACCCTGCACAGCCCAGCCCACTAAGAGGTTACCGCGGTGGATGCCGTGCTCGAGCTGAGAAACCCACCCAATAACGCGGCTCGCCCGCGCTGGATCCTCCACGGGGGAGGGGACGGCGAGGAGAGAGGGGGAGAGGGGCTCCCTTGCGTAGCTTGCCCGCCCGGCCAAGGACGGTCAAGTCGATCGACAGCAATATTATCCTCCTTGCAAATCCTTGGCGCTAAATAATCGGCCATAGTGCACGTCTGGTTACCGGTACTAGGGAACTAGTGCAGTTATGCTATGGGGAAACACCCGCCGCAGGTCGGCCGGACTTGATATATCAGGGGAAAGTCTCCTTGTCCCTTCGGTCCACAACCCCGCCTTCTTTCAACTCCATACCCACATTCTCTAAATTCCGGCTATTTGTTTATTCTTCGGCGAGTTCTTTTTTTTTACTTCTTGGCTCGTGAAAAAAGGCGCTTCAACGATTTGCTTCACCACATTCTTTTTAGGTCCCGGGTCCTACACTACATACATACTTCGCCAGCGGGGATAGCACGAATAGAAGCCTCTAGCTTTCAAAACCCTACGCAGCCAGCTATAATATCAAAGCGGATCGTCTATCACTGGCGCTGACTTGCTTTATATCCATCTCGAATCCCCCCACACTCTTTTGGATTCCGTCCCAGAAACCTCCGACCACGAGCATTCATTATCCACCAGGCAAGTAAGTATTTAGCCACTGCCCTTACGCACGCACAAGTCCCACCTCGACAATCACCACCGTAATCCAACCAGCCATGCGTTCTCAACTCTCCGTCCTCCTCCTGTGCGCTTCCAGCCTCGTCTCCGCATGTCTGTACAAGCGTGATGGCGAGCAGGCACCCTGGTCCTACGAAGGGCACAACGGGCCGGTGCTCTGGCACAACCTGACGCCGGACAACGGGTTGTGCGGCACGGGTACCAATCAGTCGCCGATCAACATCGACAGCACCATCACGACGGTGGACGGGTCTTCCTTCAACTACCCCGCTGAGGCAGACTTCATCTTGGAGAACAACGGCCACACCGTCGACTGCAAGCCCTCCGAGGACGAGGACGCAACCGCGTTCCGCTCCACCCTCGGCGGCGCTGAGTACCAGCTCCTCGGCTTCCACTTCCATGCCCCCAGTGAGCACAGGGTCAATGGCCTCGGGTACCCGCTTGAGGTTCACTTCGTGCACAAACACGTCAGGAGTAAGTCATAGCAATCCCCTTTTCCCTCAATCCACCTTTTTTGTCCTCCCCATGCTCATGCAATGATTTAGCCGGTGATCTCGGAGTTTTCGGCATCTTCTTCGACATCGAGGCGAGCGAAGGCGACGACTTCTTCCACCAGATGCCATTCCGGCAGCTGCAGGCGAAGGGCGACGTTATGCACGCTGAGGACATCAGTCTCCGGTAAGTTCCTTCTCCTTCCCCGCCCCGTTCGCAGCCGCTGATTGAGCTTGCCCATCGCAGTACCATCATGGCGCACGTCCGCACCTCGCGTGTGTTCAACTACTCGGGCTCCCTGACCACCCCGCCGTGCTCCGAGAAGGTCAACTGGTTCGTCGCCGAGCAGCCGCTGCTCATCTCCGTCGACCAGTATGACGCCCTCAAGCATGCCGTCGGATTCAACTCCCGCTTCACCCAGGGCATGCCCGGAGAGAAGAACTTGTTGCAGCAGTCGGAGCATTGCGAGGAGACCGTGTAAGGCGGCGGAATGGCGTGTTATGGACACGGCTGGCTAGCTGTAGGCGGTTTTTTGGGCTTGTAATGTATATATGTGCATGAGCAGCCAGGCGTGGGGGTTTGGATAGAAAGGGCGTCGCGGGGAAACATCTGGAGGGATGGGGGATATTATCTTTTGGGGATTTGTTTGTTTATTTTAACTTAATGTGTATCTACTTATGGACCGTATCTGTTTATTGCTTTGCTTGCTATGTAGCATACCACTGTTTTTTGTTCGCTTTTTTGGATATTTCCGGTTGTGGCGGAAATACAAATACCTACTTTACCTATTCTTCGAGACTCGATAGTGTCGGGGATCAAAAGAAGGCTCGGATTCGAAGCTGAACTGAACGGATAACTTTTATGTATGTAGGCAGTATGGAGGTACTCTATCACGAACCAGGGTGACCTCGCTACCAGCATCTTGGCTTTCTAGGCCTGGTTGGCTGGATGGCAATCACGAATTCCCGGATGGTCCGTTCGTTCTGGAATATAGCATATACGGACCACGGCAGGTGCTATGGCAGTACTAAATTTTATACATACATAGCCAGACCCCATATATGACAATAATGATAGGCCTAACCGTTTTTCCAGCGGCGCAAGCTATTATAACTAGCTGACCAACTCGCTGACCCTCAGAGGGATAGTACACCGGTGGTACAGTAGTATTACTATTCACGACACGATACCCATCCTATGGTACCTATGGTACCTATAAATGTTGGCGGCGTGGCCTCCGAGTCCAAGACAACACGAAACCCGCTCAGTCCATGTCCATGCCTTACATATTACGGCTGTTCGATACAGCGCGCAGCGGGCTGCGCTCTAGAGTATGTCCGACCGGCCGATGTCGGATCGGCCGTGTTCATTGACCATCACTCGGGGCCCGTGAGTACATGCATGCCCGAATCCATGCGCGCATCCTTGCCTGCACATGCGGAGAAGGTAATTGCGAATACTATAAAGCGCGCATGCGGCACGAGCCGTATACACACACCGGAGTAGTCGGAGGGCATCATTCGGACATCTCCCCACCGGCCACGGATGTAGGTAGGTAGTTGGCGATACCATACACGTATGCACGCACGCTCGGCGCCGTCGCCGTCGTGACGTGGTGTCGTCCGAGTGTCATTCAGGAGCTCTCGCACTGCGCAAGTGTCAGAAGTCAGGACCTTCTGGTCCGTGCGGGTACTGTATACCTCCTCTACCGTAGTCTCTAGCCCATCGGTGTCCGGCGGGCCCGCCTCCGCGCCGAATCGATATCGGATACCGGTACATAGTAGCACAACCCAAGCTACCCGCCGACCCGCCGACCCCCCGGCCCTAGAGCACAAATCCCGAAAATCGGTTCCAGATCCACTTCTTCTACCCACCCACCCACCCATCCACCCACAGCCTACGGCCACACGGCGGCCCGGCCGACTCTCGCCGACTCTCGCCGACGCCCGCAGATCAGAATTCAGGACCATACTTACATAGTGGCAATATAAATATGATCTCCAAAGCAAATCATAAATGCAACGCACCTCAGGCCTTGAGGATCTCCAGGCAATTACAACGCATCTCCTCAGGCCTTGAGAGTTTCTGGAAGATGACGATAGACGCTCACACGACTGACTAGGTACTCGAATGGTCAACTGCAAGATGATCACTGCAGCAGCGGAAGATATTTACCAGACTACCAGTGTCTGAGTTTTTAATTCCCCGTCCTACATACCAGTACACACTTGTTTGACCCCATCATTCTCAGAACTCGTTCTCAGCACTTGCCGAGCGCCGTCGCTACCTGGTAGTATGATACGCTCGCTAATCTCTCGTATACTCTATACGCGAGCAAGGCGATATATCAGACGGTGGTACAATGGTACGTGATATCTGGTTTCGGCCGCCCACCCCCCGATAAATATCCCGGCATGGGAGAAGTCAAGAAGTCAAGAAGGAAAAAAGGCAAGATACAGATTGTGCCTCACCTAGCTTCGGCGGAACATTTTCTCCAGAAACGCCGGCTCGAGCCTCGGACTCGGTGGGCTCCAGGACAATACGAAGCACGACGGAAAATTGAGAATCCGTGTGTACTATGTACTATGTAAGCAGCTTTCGTTTCCGTTCTCGTTTCTCCGGAGTCTCTCCAGAGACTAGAGTCGGCCGTGCGCGATGATGATGATGGCAGTATAGGTGTTATCAAGTCCTCGTCCGACATGAGAACGGATACAAGAGAAATCGTATGTACGGCATCGGTCTTCGGCTCCCAACTACGGTAACCGCTCGCCCTCGCCTCCTGTTACCTACGCCTCGCCATCTCATGGGGGAAGTGTGCCCCTGCATGTCTCCACTTGTGTGCAGGCCCGAGAGGCTCCGCCGATCTCTACTGGCGAAGTCCTGCTCTCCCCGGGGAAGATATCCTCTGCCCTTCACACACCCAATTCGCTCCGTGCGTATGTACTGCTTATTTGGAGGGGGCTGGACTGTGGAGTCCCTCGCCCACCACGTGACCGACTCGGCACTCGTCTAAATCCGACCTCCACGCCTAAGGCGTCCGGCTCACAGCCAGCAGGAGAGCTTGTATGTACTATGTAGTATGTGCTATTGCCTGGTTCGGTAGTTCGGATTCATCATTCAAGCTTTTGAGTAGCACAAACGCCTCCGTAAAGATAGTGACGCGATCGCTCGTCAGGCGCTCACTCGTCAGGCGCAGCGCGCCGCCGGTGGTAATCTGACCTGTAGCCTACTCGGTTTCGAAGATGGCCTGGGCCTTCCCCATGATTTCCTCCGCAGTGGTGGGCTGTGTACCGCAGTCTGCTACACACACCCCGCTTTTCCGTCACTGAATCCTTGATGCGGATCTGTTTTGCCTTGCCTTGATCATAAATACATGCTCGCATCCAACGAGGTTTACATGGCAGCATACATAAGTTTCCAAGTCCGGTCTGGCACAGTCCAGCTCACGGCAGTGGTCCTATGGGGGCAGCCACATCTCCCGCCTGAGCTAGATAAACGAGGCGCCGAACCAAACAGGCGCACCTGGAGGCTGGCTTCCCCCGCAGTGGTGTTGGCTGTGTACCGGCACACACACACCCCGCTCTTCCGTCCTTGAATCCTTGATGCGGATCTGTCTTGCCTTGCCGTGATCATACATGCTCGCATTCGACCTGGAGGTCACGGCGGCATACAGTTAGTTCTCCGAGTCCTGTTCACACTGCACAGTCCAGCTCTGTGGTTCGATGTAGCAATCCCTTCTTCCGTCTAGGCTAGATGAACGAGGCGGGGAACCAAAGAGGTCACTCCGGCCCCCAGGCAGATCTAGCAATAGTTTGCAGTCTAACCAGTTTGTCCAGTTCGAACCAGTTCCTTAGTCAGCTGGTTCTAAACAGTGCAATTGGCTTCGTGGATTCTGTCACTGCCTTATCCGGTTAGTTGGAAATTGGAAATTCTGAGTGCAAGCGGATCACTGCGGTTACCGATGACCGTCACTCTCTACACTTCGATACCATTGATGCCTCGGAGTGTCTATCCCAAATTTTACCACCGCGAATAACTACTAGTACGTGCTAGTTGGTACTAGGTACTGTCCTTCCGCCCCGAAGGCCGAGTCCTCTTCCCGAATGTCGGAGTTCGGATATCATATGATCGCCCCAGCTTTTGCCAGTATTAGTTTCGACCGGTTCTAACTCGTCATCTAAACTAAGTGCTCCCATAGCCGGTTCAGTGCAGTTCTAACAAATTCTCGAACCAGTTTGGGGGCCGAATTCGCGTGATCCGCCATGATCGCATTGTGGGGCTGACGTGTGGCGTGGCACGTGTGGCAACCCTAGCTCGACATGAAGATTCCGGGTGAGACTGTGAGAGAGACGTGCATATGCACCATGACCTGCCACGAGCTGCGATGGGCAATGTTACCATGAGCAAAGGGTGTTATTTTGATTTCATTTGCGAGCGGGCAGGGTCGATGTACGAGCGGCGAAAATCAATCCCATCGAATCTGATATGTATAGCCAGGTCGGCTAAAATTGGTCGAACTCATGCATGTATATTTTGGCGGGTCTGTCTGTCTGTTTCATCGTTCTTCTCATCTGTTCGTTATCGGGTCGTTCATCTGTGTGCTTTTCGTTGTCATTTGTCCTAACCTCAACTCGCGAGGTTCTAGGATTTCCTGAATAACACAGGAGGTCTATTGATTTCTTACTTATTGATTCTCTCTCATGAAAAATAGATCCTCTCTATTCTGTTATCAAAGTTGCCAAATAGTCTCCCCGGTCCTAGTGCTTTCAATAGGTGAAGGATCAGATAAGATAGGTGGAAAGGCTAGTCGGATCGGTGGATCATCAGCCGAATGGTGGTGATAGCAGGACTAGCCGGATCGGGTGTCACCGAACGTTGTAGGCAGCGGAGGAGAGCCATATGACATGGCTCTTCGCAGTAGAACCTCAACTTCTCCATCATCCTTCAAATACCAACTTATTTCACTTTCCAGGGCGACGTCACGCAAGGCCGCTTCCTCTTTGAACCTTCCAGGCTCTCATTCGAGAGTGACCCTAATAGTTCGTTCCGAAAAAGTGGCATCCGAACAAACAAAGACTTAAATCGATAGTTCCCGATCGCGCATCCGCATCATTGACATCGCCTCTCGCACCATATCCGTCAGCGCGCCCGAGTGGGTGACGATGAAACTCCCAGCATGAGCTGAAAACGGGGAGATGAGTGTGATAAATCTTGGGTTCCTTCCATCACGCAGCTTATAGCGCCGGTCTGTAGGAACATTGGTTATACTCCGTTTTGGACAGCTGCATTGGTCGAGCAGCCGGCGTCAAGAAGTATTCACACACGAGCCTGGGTCGAAGGGACGGATCTAGAAGCCACGGCCGAATGCCGGCGGCCGTCGAGATACCGCAAAGGCCGAATCCGGGATTTAGATTGAGTGCACTTGCTGATGCTCGAGAAGTGAGATACCGTAGAGTATGTACCCACCGGACGCGAGTTGCTGACGAACCTACAAGTGAAAATGTAATGCGCGTGTCCGAGCTCCGCTTATTGGTGGACGCGTGTCTCAACGTCAGTCAGCCCTAGGTAGCCTACCGAACGACTTGTTTTTTTCCCCTCTTTCTTTTTTCCGTCGTCATCGTCCATTTGGATATATCGTTCTTTTGCCCCAAAGATAGCACGTCTTTCCGGTCATCATTCTCGAGTGGGACCCACTCACAATCCGTTTTTTTGTTTCAATAGCCCTACTACCCCGTATATCTCACACTAGTTCACCGGCCAAGCAGAGCATGAGAAAGAGCTTACGACGCCCGCAGGCCCGCACTGCGCATATTCTAGGATTGGCCGACCGGCCATTCACCGACCACCACGAGATATGATATGATGGAGAATCCAACTCCCCCCATTCTCTGAACTCACCCGCGACCGTTTCCCCCAGCATTCACCGAAATCATCATGTTGTTCACCGCCCCGTCCGTGGTCGCGGTCACTCGGGGGCCTTTGACGTCTACCTGAAAACCGCCGCCGCCACCTCGAACTTTCTCCGTACCCGGCACAGCTCACACTTTGATATCGCCCAGGAATCGTTCTACCGGATGTATGGACCGATCACTCTTCAACTACAGCCTTCGTCCATCCACCTCCTTCGGTTTCTCTCGGCTCCGGAACAGCTTCACCGATTGAGCAACCGTTCAGACCTTTCCTTCCCTTCCGCTACTGATGCATTACGGGATCTGCATTGTTTCTCATACCTCTCGGATTATCTAACTTCCGGAGGACCTTCTGCCATGATTTCGTATTTGTCGCTTCCCAGACGAGCGGATGGCCGGGATCGACACGGACGTGCGCTTATCTGTTCTTGTATTGCTCGATCCTGCGATCCGATTGAGCTCCGTGATGTTATCCTATTAGGATCGCCAACATTCAACTAGTTTTGGGCCCGAACGTAAGGACGATGTATGGAAGAGAAGCGCCACTTGGTGCGACCCACGCGGATCATCGGGAGGAAGGGGAAATATGATCGACACTATCCCGCCCACCGAGCCGGGCGGGATTCGTCGCCTCTATCCGGCCCATATTGGCCTACGGTAGACGAATAAACATCACGCGGCATGCGGAGATTGTCAACTCAGCAAGGCCCTACTGTTAAACTCGGGGCGGAGGGTGGATCATGTGCGGACACTACCGACCATTGCTCACTCGTCCCTTTACTACATAATAGAATAAGCGGGCAACGTTAGACTAGGACATAGCGAGACAACAACCGAATTTATATCAGGATCCGTATAATGTCTTTCCCGCAAATGCCGGATTTCTTGTGGAGGTACACATCCGGTAGCGCTCCACCGGGCACCGTGTCGGGACGGACAGGAGCATCGGATGAGAGCACCGACAGGCACGCTGAGCATGATCACCACACGGAAGCACCGACCACGGATTACAGCACATTCGGATTTTTACCTTGGCGAAACCGCGTTGTCACCATGTCCTCCCAATTTACGCCAAGCAGACTCCGGGAGCCCACATCTTCCGTGGATGGCTTGCAATTGAGAGGGAGACGGAAGGGTTCACTAGGTATGGTCGGGGAGAACATCTATGGACGGATCGATGCGATGATAAATAGAATCTCGCTTCATTTCTTCGTGGTTTTCAAGACTAACGGTCAGCAGCGGATGCAACTCACACACGGACGATCACTCGGATACGGATTCCCATCCTCCTTTTTACAGACTTCACCGTACACGGGTAATCTACGGTTACACCGCGACGATTTTGCGATCCAACTAGGCATGTGCCACGGTGCTCTCGGAAGGTTACTGATCACAATAATCCACGATTACACCGCGACGATTTTGCGATCCAACTGGGCATGTGCCACGGTGCTCTCGGAAGGTTACTGATCACAATGCCTCCGCCAAGACGTCTCATTCATCATATGGATTCCGTCGACACCGATTTCGTCGTTGTGAAAGAATTGGCTTACCGCGATCTATTCTCACCGCTTATTTCCATGTCCGGATATGTCGGGAAGCATTGCGGAGTATCACAGCACAGGCGGGTCCCGGGGTTGGAGTCTGGATTGCCAGTATAGGTGGCAATTATCCCTCCGGGCCTCTGGACTACATATAAGGCAAATGGGGTGCAAGACACCATCTTCTGGAGAAATCTTTTTTGGTGCCGGACAAAGGGAACGACGGGCGACGCGAACTACCCCATCTTTGAAACATGTTAGCAGCACGGAAGTCAACTGTACATACATCCAGCTCGTTTTGTCGTCGGCCCGAGACTGGACGGGCTGCCCGTAGGCTTCTCGTGGACGGATCCAACTGCCGGGGCCGGAATAGACATGCCAAACATAAGGGTTTTACCGCCAGACGGAGTCAGGTGATGCTCGCGGGGCTCTCGCTCGAAGATTTCCATCGAGCCCCCGTACCGGTAGTCCGCCTTGCCGGACTGCAGTCTTTACGCTGCGGCGGCTTAAAGCCGAGACATCAGTGACGCCGTGGGTGAGCAGCATCCGGACCCGGACGATTTTAATTCGCTAGGCAAAGGAAGCGGCACTTTACCCGGAACCCACAATCGGTTCGGCGCCGATATCCCGAAAGGTCACTGCACGGCACTCAGCATGTGCATGCGTGTCATGTGCACAGACGATTCACGAAGCACAACTCGTGTCGCGCAATCCTTGGCAACGACGCGTTTCAGCTCATCAATGATACACCATGACGGGCGGGCGTTCGCCGTACTTATTTACTATTGAGCACAAACTAGTCCTAGCCGGATTGCGTCTTTCTAGACCACCTTACGCTGCTAGAGTGATACTGTCCTTCGACACCCCCCCCCCTCCCCACCCCACGAGCTTAATGAGCTGTCTCGGAGCAGATCTGTGGAGTGGAGCGATTGCCCATCGAAAGCGGAAGACTTTCGGTCTCCCTGATCTCCGACTCTTCGGTCATGATCTATACGTGCTTCTGAGTTTACGACACCATTCTCCCAGGCCGCAAGACGAAATGTGGATCGAAAGACGTATGGCTGTAGGATTTCCGTCGGATATAGCGCACGAAAATCTCGTTGACGTTTCCTCTCTGCCAGCAACGAAGTACGGTGTGCTTCTGACTTGGGCGATTGTTGCTACAGCGACTATCGAGCGAGGGTGATCCGGGAAAGATGAATTGATCGGGAACAGTGACAGAAAGCGGGGCCTGCCTCTGAAGGTTCAACGTATCCGGCCCTTGCGATCGATAGCCCAGTTGGATGCAAGCGGAGGGAGGGAGGGAAACAAAAATGGAAGACTGGCAGACCCCATACAGACGGAAGGACGGACAGACTTGCTTGTCGTCGTTCAGCTCGCCACCTGCGTGTCGGCCACAGCTGCAATCACCCCATGCCCAACTGCTTCACGATTGGTCCTATCGTCCAAGGCCATTCAACCTGACTGCAGCCCCTGCGCTGTCCACTCGGTTACAAATCACCTTATCGTCTCCACACACATGAGAGCGATATACGCAAACGCTGTCGATGGGTGGAGCATTAACTATGTGGTGTGCCTATGTTATGTATGCATGTCCCTACCTGATCCGGCCAGCCATCGAGCGAAGCACTCGTCGCCAGCCAGCTAGCCAGCATGACGCTAATGATGTAAGTATCAGCTACAACTGAGCAACAACAAAACGGGGCGTTCGGCTCGGCTACATGTGCTCAGCTATGTGTGGGCATGCGCCACTCACGCTTGTGACTGGCCTAGGCGGATCCGATCGCCGTGCTGAAAGTATGGAAGCGGTCACCGATACATACCTCCGGCACTTCGATTCGGGCTGCTCGAGTGAGAGCATGTGCGCCGCTGTGCGGCGTACATACAATCACGTCTTTCTCGGGAAGTTGTCGTGCCAATCGAGTGGGGGCAACCGTGCACCATATGCGCTCTACAGTACATGGCGAATAGGTATCGGCAGCCATCAGCCATCTTACCTGCAGCGCGCGACGGTTGTTTCCTTCTTTCTCTTGATTTGTTTGTTCTTTGACATTCGAATCCGATCTGCAGTTGAGGACGGGGGGCGTGTCCGGCATGATACCTGAGTAGTAGGTGCTCTAGCCCACGATCCTGTCAATGGCATTTCGCTCTCGCAGACCCACACATCCAATTGAATGCGCAGCTGTACGCTACGACGGCACGACCTACATAGCACATACGCCCCGCGACCGTCTATTTTTGGCGACGTCGGTAGTTACCGTTGTTTCTTCATTCGATTTCCCGGTAAACACGAGAAGATGGTCCAGCAGCCAGCCAGCCAGGTTCTCCGGCTTGCACAGCGAGGTATTTACTGAGCCATCCCCCAAGACCGTCCAGAATGGCTGTATGCATACTGACACTCTGCAATCGAAGCACCGCAACTAACCAGAGAGGTGGCAAGCCTGTGGAATTGGCCTACCTGTCGAACCCGCTCAGACGCTAACGAATCATCCATAAACTCCTCTCCTGAAGTCTGAGCGGGTTCGACAGGCAGGCCAATTCCACAGGCATACCACCTCTCCAACTGCATCCATGCCGCTCCACAGTCGAGTATCCCCACAAATCGCTGTCCGCACGGCGCACACATCGCCAACTAGTTGCTGCGGCTGCGTGGATCCGTCCGGTTCCGGCCCCTGCGAGCGAGGCCAAGTCACCATCCCCCCACCATCACCAAATACGCCACTTACCTACTCGAGCTACCTCCCGGTCGTGGGTAGTTGGCACTTAAGGCTGAATCCTGCGCTGCTGCGCATGCAGTTGATCGAACCATGCCCCATCGAGTACATACACTAAACACTGCGTGTCGTACTCGGTTACAAGCGCATCCGTATGCCAGCTATGTATGTAGACTTCCACAGGAACGATACTAGTAACTTCTGCTTGCAAGGCACCTACTCTAGTTACATACGGTACCCGACAACTCGACACGACCTCGTTTTCGCGAAAGACCCTCATCATCATCCGCGCTTGTCGCCAGTTCGCGACCATCGTGGAAGATCCATGATCCCCCGATCACTTGGCGTGGAATCCGTGGAGGCCAGATCCGGAGGAGGAGGAGGAGGAGGGGTGTGTCGATCAACGAGACAACTTGTCGAGAGTCGGCCTGACACTCACATATCGCAGCGACGAAAGCCTGACACTCACACATCGCAGCGTCGGCGTCTTACGTACATATGGACACAGAATACCCAGCCAGCTCCTTCGCCAGGCTCCAGGCAGCACGCGAAGGAAGAAAGGAAGCAAGCACTACTCTATGTACAGGCTACAGCCCAGATTCAAAATTTGGGGGATAGTGTCAGCCAACGGATAGTGCGGCAGAGGCGGTATTCGACGGAGGAGTGGAGAGGAGGGGCCAGTGCAGGGAGATTCCTTGAATCCAGGCGGCTGCCTATTGTATATCCCCAGAATCCCCAATTCGAACTGCGGGGAATTTTCCAAAATCTTACATAGATAATATGGAAACCAATCCCCCTCCCCGCCCTCCGCGGTTGGACAAGTTCGGGGCACACAGGTCCTGTCCTGTCCGATCATGACTGCATACCTACCCAGGTATTATTCCGACGACGGCGTACGGTAGCTACATAGCTAGAAACAAATAAATCGAGAGTCCTATAGATACAGGTGCCCATCTGTCGGCAGTGACGGAAACCTTTTTCCCATGATCACATCGACGTGGTGACAGATTATTGAATCCGGCCACCAATCCGCCTGCTCATTGCACCCTACCAAACCATAGGTATCACAGTGCGGAGGACCGATCACCGGTGGCTTTCGACTGTCGACTCTCGACAGAGGCCAAGCCGCTCCATCCGTCCCCGCTATTCAATTTGCGGACCCGATCCAGCTCCGATCATCGTCCCGGAAGACGATCTGTCCCGCGCGATGCCGGTGCTAGGCAGTAGGTATCGTTCGCATTCGCAGTGGTGGAAGTGATTGAAGTGGTGGAAGTGGTGGAAGTGGTGGAACTTGGAAATGGTGGAAGCGATGGTGGCTCGATGGTACGGTACAAGGGGCAAATTGTGGAGACCGTGAAGTGCGGGATCGTGAAGTATTGAAGTCGACGGAAGTAGAGCACATCCGGTACCTACACTTTCCCGTGTGTATGTGAGTGGTTATCTATCAATCCAGCAGCCAGCAGCCAACTTCCCAAAACGCGCGCAAGTTGCAACTATTGTCCGCGCCGCAGCCACCAACGACCATGGTCCATCATGGCATCATCTATGTACCGGAAATAGAACGCCCCCAAAGATCAATCAACCGCCCCCACTACTCTACATAAGCACATCTCTAGAATACGGTAGATAGTAGAACCCCTACCCAGTATCCACGATCACGCGCCCCCGGCCTTCATCGGAACGCCCACACGGCGCAGCCCGCTTGTTGGCAGCCAGCCAGCCTCGTATCCTCTAGTCTCTACATAAAGTGCAGATTCCACCCGAACCGAACGTCCGCCGCCCGAAGTATAGTATGTACACATGTACCCGTACTCGGAAGGATGAACCAGGACGCCACCGCGTCACCGCTCCGTAGATAGATAATAGTAGAAGTGCGCTTCCTCGGCTTGTTCGGATGAACTGGGAGGGCGCCGCCGCAGGAGGAGGAAAAGCGCCGAGCGGGGTCCGTGGGTGAGGGGTAGATGTGCGCAAACTTCGCAAAATTTCTTTCTCCAGTGTCCAGAGCCCAGTGTCTGCAGGATTTTTTCGGTTGCCAGCTTGCCTTGTCTTGCCTTGCCGACGGGGGGTTTGTCCCATACCGTATTCCGGCACAGCAGTGCAGATGTCACCCGAAGTTCGAACGGTTTGGGCGAAATAAAGCGAGACCATGTACGGTATGTATGTATGTATGACACCCAGGCTCGCCGCTCGTTCCTGCGCGTTCCTGAGTTTCTCTCCAGGAATCTGCAGCGCGGTGCGGTGCAGGCGGGACCCGGGTGCGTGGTGCGTGGTTGGTGGTGTGTGGTTAGTGAGGGGTGAGGGATGGGGCGTGCAGGTTTGTTTTCCTGTCTGTCGTGCGCGAGGTTCTTATTGGTGCGAGGAATTACTATTGATGCGAGTGTGTGTGAGGGTGTGTGTCAGCTCTTCCACCCCACGACCCCGGACGGCGCGCTGCCGGGTGGCTAAGCTGGGTTCAGTGGGCTGGGCTGGGCTGGGCTGGGATGTTTTGCACGACATATCTACAGCGTGCGGACGAGATGATTGGTTGGCTCGACGACGTGATTTGGTTTTTGAATTTCGACATGTGTGCGGCTATACTTACTACCTATCAAACTATCTAGATACATTCTATCTGTCATACAGTCAGTCTGTCATACTGTCATACGTATGTATATACCGCGAGTATGGTTTGCACGGGGACACGGGGACACGGCTGGGGGATGGATAGAGTAGGGCATAGGGATTGCAGCTCAGCCTCGTAATGAGCAAACATGAACACGAACGTGTCATATCATGGGAAGTGAAGTGAAGTGAATGAGAAAACACCACCCGGCCAGGACAATAATAGCTGACAGCTAGCTGCTGCGATAATTTTCCTCTTCTTCTTCCTCCTCGGGGCTTCTGGACAGTTGACAGTGGCGGAACCTATGTGGAATATGTATCATACCTATTTCCGAACCATGAAGAAAAGAAATAAGAAAGAGTGAAAGCAGTCCTGTTCAGCCAGGCAAATACTAAATAAGTAATGGTATGGTTTGTCACAAGCAATGTGTCACGGGAATCAGAAGTTTGTAGAAAGGCCCCAATGTATTAAAATTATCGCAGATTTTCCAGTTTTCCCCCCTTCCGTTCGTATCCTCCGCCTGTGTGCAGCAGCTGCAGCTTTCACCAGAGCGCGCGCCCAACCAGAAAGTACCCGAAACCAAAGAAAAATCCTGCCTGCCTCATGACCATAGAGATACCCCTCTCCTCCCCTCACTACTCCCTGCACCCCACGAACACGTAAAAACGAACCAGACATTAAGACTAGAAAAGGAAAAACGTCGTCGTAAAAAAGGAAACTCGCGAAATTATCCGTGCCCCCCGAAAGAAAAACCAGAAACCCAAATGTCCTAGGGGGGAAAAAAACCCTCCGAGTGAAACTTGACTCGAGATGGGAGAGGAAACACTAAAAGAAGGCCGAATGATGATGCATATGCAGACGGCTACCCTCAGGATTTCACTCCCACCAAGAACGAAGGGAAGGAATGGGCTCGGATCTCGCCGGAAGAGGGCGAGATACATGCACTTAGTAGTGCTTGTTCTCGGCGGTGACGGTGACGGTCTTGTAGTCGGTCTCGGTCTTGGTCTTGGTGACGGTGACGGGGTAGGAGTCCTTGGTCTTGGTGACGGTGACGGTGACGGGGTAGGCGTCCTTGGTCTTGGTGACGGTGACGGTGACGGGGTAGGCGTCCTTGGTCTTGGTGACGGTGACTGTGACGGGGTAGGCGTCCTTGGTCTTGGTGACGGTGACGGTGACGGGGTAAGAGTCCTTGGTCTTGTACTCGGTGACGGTCTTGTACTTGGGCTTGTACTCGGTGACGGTGACGGGGTACTTCTTGTAGACGGTGGTGTACTTGTACTTGTAGTCGGTGACGGTGACGGGGTACTTCTTGTACACGGTGGTGTACTTGTACTTGTACTTGTAGTCTGTGACGGTGACAGGGTACTTCTTGTACACGGTGGTGTACTTGTACTTGTAGTCGGTGACAGTGGCGGTCTTGTACTTGTACTTGTACTCGGTCACGGTCTTGACCTTGTACTTGGGCTCGTAGTAGTCGGCGGCGGCCTCGGCGTCAGGAGCGCGCTGGACGATCTCGGCATCGGCAGCGGGGACCGCGGTGGCAGCGGCCTGGAGGATGAAGATAGCAGCGACGGAAGCGATAGTGAACTTCATGATTGCGGTGGTGGTTGTTTGGGGGGGGAGCTGGTATTAGGCGGGAGAGTTTATTAGAGTAGATGAAGTCGTAAGAGGAGGAGGCAGGAGGATGTATTAGCGATGGTGAGCGGGGTGAGGAAAGAAGATTGAGTTGGGGGGAGTGAGGTCTGTCTTTATACGATATCCAACTCTCTAGATGCACATACAATCCACGCCGCTATCGCCAGCTGTCGGTGGATAGTAGCTAATTGCACTACCACCACTGCCAGCCCACCGCCACAGCTAACCCACATGCCGAGATACTGGGCTGGGCTGAGTGGAGGTGGGGGCTACCTCTGGGTGGTTACTGAGATGAGCGGCCGGCATCATTCTGTCTGCGGGAGGAAAGAATTCTTCCACTTCGCCGCCCCCCTCGTCCGTCAGCAGTGATTCTCACCTGCCTAGCCTCCAGGCAGTCCAAGTGGCCTGCATGTTCTTCGCCCTCCCATGTCGATTGATGATGATTGCCAGAATTAGATGCACATATCTCTGCAGTTTGCTCCCCTGAGAACCAAGACACGGGAAAGCTGATTATTGATTGTGTCTCGGCTGCTGGGAGCCCTAAATCGTTCCCCGATGCCTGCCTGCCCACGCCGCGATTGGTAGAATCAATGCCCCCCTCCCGCTACCGGAAGCTAACGACTCATCAGTACTGCGATCAAAGGTGACAACAGAAACGTCCATCACAGGTCTCGTTCGTTCGTGCGTTATGTAGAAGCAGAAGCACAGCCTTTGTTGTTGTTGACGGTTCATGAATCATGATTCTCAGCCATCCGGCAGAGTGGCCGGCCAGACGCTTGGTAGTCACTGGTGGTGGGGGGATGTGTGGTGGCACGGCCGTAGCTGGGCTGGTCGATCACCCACCCACCCACCCACCCACCCAGCGCGTGTCGATCAACGCTTGTGCTTTTTTCTCCCGCGCAATTTCAACACATTTGGTATTGGCCGGCCATGCCGTGCGCAGTGCACTTGGCGAACACGGTTGACTCTGATAGTGCTCCTGGCATAAATAGTAACCGTAGAAGAAAAGAAGAAAAGCAAAAGCAAAAGCAAAGCAAAGCAAACCGAGAGAATCCTCGAGGCTGGTTATCCGGCTACTTACCGCACTCGACTATACCTATCTGCCATTAGTTAGGTACTTGGTCACTTATTTTCACGTTTCTCGATTACTTACCCACCGACTGTACCTAGATGATGCCATCGGACGGAAAAAGCAGCACTCGAATGACCATCATAGCAGGTGGAGAACAAACACCCCCCATCCACTGTTCTGGAACCCCTTTTCAATTCACACTCGCTTCTCTATAGTACCCACTAGGATACTATTAGAATAAGGTCTCTCGTAATCTTCAGGTGGAATGTAGTAATATGTACCTATGTACGGTGCAGTAGGTACCTACTATCCAGTTCGGCTTGCGGCGGCAAATCCACGCCCCCAGCTTGCTCTGTAATAGAGTGGTTTATTTGAATCTGGGAAGCGAGGTATCAGGAACAGTGCCTTCTCGTTGTGGCTGGGGAACAGTCAGTCCGTCAGTCAGTCGCCGTCAGCCTTCTCCATCCGCATCCCGGTTCCTGGCCTGCGATACGGTATCTTACTGCGGTACCTACATACCTGGGTACTAGGTTTATACTACCCAGTAGATGACTAGGCCTCCAGGCTTCAACCAACCAGTCACTCTGCTAGATGCTATGCTAAGCGAAATATCCACTCGTAGCAGGCCTAAGCCTTAAGGCCACTCTAACTACTGCTGGGGGTATCCGTATAGTAGTAGTATGTACCTCTCGCTCTCTCGCTCTCGCGAGCCACTCGCGCCCACTGCCCAGCCCAAGGCCCCCCCCGCTGCCCACAGAGAAAGAACTAGCCATAGGATTTCCGGTGTCAATGCCGATTCCGCACGGGTGGGATCGGTATGTAGAGTAGAGTACTAGTAGGTACTCGATACCTACTCCCGCCAGAGCACTCCAGAGACCCTCCAGAGAGCTCCCCACCTCCCCCTTCGGGACCACTCGACTCTTTCATTCGTCCCCGGGAAATTCGAGTGGGGTCTACGTCTGGTTGGTGAGCTTTCTCGGCGGGAATGCTTTGAAGTCTCGACCAATACGGCCAATACGTCACACACGCAACCAATCGCAACGGACAACCAGAGCCAGACCTCCGGGCATTCTCGGGCCAAGCCGAGCTCAGGCAACAACAACGACAAGTTGTACTCTGGTGAGTGGTGATGTGTCGTGGCATCGGTTCTCGAGCTGTGGACATGTGGTGGTGCCGGCATCGTCACGCTCGCTCCGTCCGCATGCGGATCCGCTCGGATCCGCTCGTGCAATGCTAGTACGGTACCTAGAGCAGTCAGAAGGTGCTGGGTGCCTGGGGAGAAACTGCGTGCTGAACGTACTACTAGTAGCAACCACTTACTCTTCAGTCGTTGGTTCATGTCTGCACGCTGCGGGGGAGAGGACATCGTGGTGTGTAGAGTAGGTACTCTAGTGGATGTGGGGGGAAGCTGGGGCTGTGCAATTGGTTGGGCAGGGCTGCTGCGGGTACTTTAGTAGTGGGCGGGTAACTAGTGCGGCGTGCAGCTGTTCCTGGTCCAGCTCAGGTCTCTCTCGCGTTCGTATTGGAACTTGCACCTGAGCTGGTCGTGTCCAACCAACTCTAAATACCGACGCTGCAATGGTTGCACCGTAGCACCATAGTATTCTTGAGTCCATGGCCGTGGTCGCACACATGGGCACCACCGAATCCCGCGCCATCGGATCTCGCACCACCGAACCACACACACACAACCACCACCACCACCATGATCCACCCACACACCCACCACTTCGAGAGAACCAGTACGGGAGCGAACGCGAAGTGCGAACCGTGGAAGCCTTTCCAGATCCTGAAAATCAACTCAATTCGCTCCGAGCCTGTTATTCTGCTTCGGGCATTCGCACGCTGATTCCTTATTCCCCTTCGAGTTTACACACACATGCAAGACTGAACCATGGAAAGACACCAACCGACTCGACAACTCGCCGATTTCTCACCCGGAAAACTCGGCAGCAAACTAGAGCTGCAAGGTACTAGTACCCATACCATCAGCCTACCTACATACTGCAGAGGTCTCTCCAGCACGATGCGTTGTATGATATGATACATATCCGAGACCGCAGAAGGTCACGTTATGTTACGTTACGTTGGGCCGAGCCAGAGTACCAGACTGTGTGCCGTAACCGATCAAACCCAAGCGAAGGAAGGCACGGCACCGACAGTCGTGCCGTGCGACCATCGCTCGCTCCCACGGCGAGAGACACTTTGACTGAAGTCCGACTCGCTGAGGTGGTTGGCTTTGGGTCGAGAACGCAGGCCAAAGATACTCTACATATGCGCGGCCCGGATGTGCCGGGAGCTGGAGGGAAGATAATAACCATCTGAGTCTCCTGCAAAGATGTCGTGATCATCTCGCCAGGCACCTATTGGCCTCACCCTTATGTGTGCGTGCGTGCGACGGGTGCGAGTCAGTGCAACGTCCAGCCTTTCCAGCGTGTGTGTGCCGGTCATTCACTTCCAAGTTCCTTCCTTCCCGTGTGAACGTACAGGGAATGGAAAGGAAAGGAAGAGAAAAAAACGAGAAGAGAAAAAGAAAACACAGAAAAGAAAAGAGGAAATGCACTCGCGGTGACGCCTATCATAGCATACGGTATCAGCATCGATGTGCACGACGATGGTGGAAACCTCGGGGAGTTCATGTTGCGTCCCAAAGCGGAATCCGGAAGTGCTGGGTATGTATGTGAGTACCTTCTCCAGAGTCCATTGTGGCAGGTGCAATTCCGCCTTGCGTATATATCCGCCAACCGGAACTGCTCACGGGCGCCACCAAAGCTCCAACACGGTTGCAACAATGCAATGTCCGTGATGTGTACCAGAATAGCATCATCAAATTTCCGCTATCGTGACGACTCACGACTGACGAGAGAATTCTGAAAGACACGCCAGCTCAGAACTCAGAGGGAAAGACATGATCATCATGTACATAGATATGTATGTACCGGTACTCGCCTCATGCGCGCCGTACGAGAGGGGGAGGGGCGAGAACACGACAGCAGGATGTGATTGCAGACTAAAGCACTCGACCTATACGGGTAGTGGGGGGGAAAGGTGGCTGGCGAGCTGAACTGATATCAACGTCGGATCCCACATCTCGAGTTTGTTATTCTGGATCAGGGGCTGAACGAAGGCTTCGCCGTTGAAGAAAACCAGAGGCCAAAAGAAAAGCAGAAGCCAACAGGGAAGCAAAGGCCAAAAGAAAAGCGACGATGGCATCATCGTTGCCAACGGTGGTTGGATCCGGACTCCCACTACCCACCTCTCCCCTCTCCCTCCCCCCTCAATCACCCGAGAAAAGCGAGTGCGAGCCTGAGCCTGAGCTCCCCGAAGTGAAAGGATACCCTATGGTGTGCTTCTCACGCAAATTTATGAATCCTCCCTCAGGCCCCCCATCCCATCCTGTAAAAAGAAGGTCAATCGTCGGCGTCGGCGTTGGGAGAGATGGTGAGTCTTCGAGGAACTTAGATTCTAAGACCCAGCCCAGCCCCCTTCACCATAACTCGCTCACTCTTCCTCCCCCTCCGGCCTCGCCGGAGACTACCTATTGTTCCTCCTCTCCTCCCCTCCCCCTCCCCAACCCCAAGTTACATCTGAATTGACCTGATCGAAGGCTGTTGTCGTCGTTGTCATAACCGGTGCTGATTGAATCGAAAGAAAGGAAATCATCCCGCTCGTGCGTACGGTTCTCGAAGGCAATCGTTCCGCTGAAGTCGGTTGTATCGAAGTCGAAAACGTGCAGATCGAAAGGCAATTCCCTAGGCCCCAACCGCGATGTACGATTGATTGCAAGGCGACGTCGCGAACTCAAAATACTGTTTTGTCAACTCGCTATTGTTGCTCTCGTATGGTCGTGCCTCCATGCCGGACTCTCTTCCTCTTCCTCCTCTTCTTCGTCCTCTTCCCCTCCACCAGATACACTCAGCAGACGTCGCGACGATAGCTATCGCAGTGATGAAACGAGCAACAATCGAGATCCGTTCAATGACTAGTTATCGGCAGCTATGGCCTGCCTAGAAGTAATTCCCCTCCCCTCTCCTCTCCTCCCGTCACTAACTCCTGAGCCCCCATCGTTGTCGTCACGATCATCTAGGATTGCGTGTTGCGTTGTTGGTTATCTCGGTGTTGATTGGCGAGATGTTGGAACTGCAGAGAAATCTGAAACGCGCCGTGACCCCGTATGTATAGCATACCCCGCTCTCCCCTCCCCGCTCTCCCTCCGACGAGCTTCGAGAAAGAGAGAAGAAGAAGAGGAAACGGTGGTTTACTATATACACGGCATTCCGATGTGACGATGACAGTAAACGGTGAAGGCCGTATGTAATCCCGCAGGTCGCCAACCCTTGTCCGCAGCACAAGCTGACGACGACTTTGAGAAACGACACGCGGCCTCTACGAAGATCTCGACTTGTACCTATGTATGTACCTACATACATACTTGGGGACTCGGCAGTCCCCAACGAGCCAGTCAGCCGCCTTCAGACTTCGCTTCCCCTTCGATGGTGACTGGCGGGCCGGCCGCTCCTCGGCAATAGTTACCTTCCTTCCCACGCGAGCAGTACATAGCAGTGACACCTGCCACAAGCCCATCACATCCACCGTCAACACTCGTCCGTCCATAGGTGTGAGATGTTTTTTACATACCTACGCGAGTCGCACTGGCGGCGGGCGGGACCGTGTGGGCCTACCGCTGTACCTACATACATATCGCCTACCTACCGCCAACCGATGAATGGACAACTTACAAGGGGAAGAAGGAGAGGAAGGAGAGGAAGGAGAGGAAGGAGAGGAAGGAGAGGAAGGAGAGGAAGGAGAGGAAACCGCACCTGCTCTCCAGAGCTGTCCGTCGCCAGTAGCATTGTATCTACATAGTGATTTTGTGCACCAGAGAACGCGTTGTCCGCTTCTATACTTGGATCGAGTACCTACCTCATAGATGAACCATAGCATCGTGCGAACCGTGAATTGTTGTCAATGGCATTCTTCCAGGCCCACCGCACCTACCCCACCGTGCAATTCGGTACCTATGTACACGGGTGTAAGGGTAAGTGCTGCCTCACCTGTTTTTCCCCCCATACAGCTTAGCGTTTTCCCCCCATACAACTTAGTCACAACCACTCACTCATTTGATTATATTTGGCTTAGTGCAATCCTTTTGTAGACTAGTGCTTATAATTCGTAATGGTGATGAGGCACCACTTATCGGCAGCTCCTAGTACAATGTACATAGCCATCCTCGCTTCATGTGTGGTCGTCGGTTATCTGCTCTAGTTCGTTAGCTTTGATCGGCACTAGCTAACCATTGAGTATCGACGATCGCGGGGATCGTGGGGTACAAGGCTGAACTAGATATGTTTCCGCCCATCGTCTCGTGAGCCGTGATGGAGCCAAGCAAATAAAACCACGATCCGTCTAGCGCACGCACGCGCGCGCGAGCGACCGGCGCAGAATGGCAAATATACGTTGAAACCACATGATAACCACAATCACAACCACGACAGTGCCGAGTGGTGTGAAGGTACGCACTATAGGTGCTTAGGTAGTAGGTACACGGTAGGTACACAGCATAGTATGTGCACGGTATGTTACTATGTAATCCTGCAGTCGGTGCGAAGCCGATACATAGGCGACCTACATACAATGTACATACAACCTCCCGGTTCACTAGGTAGTAGGAAAAGTTCAACTGCTAGAGTGCACTACTGGGCGGGTCCAGTGCTACCGTACAGCTGCAGACTCCAGCGTTTTTCGCCACGGTAATCTCATTGCATCCCATCGCATCCCACTTCCCGTGCAGCGGACTGGGATGCAGAAAATTCGCTGCGAACCAGAAGTGTGCGTAAAGGGTGATTCATGAAGACTCACTCGGCTGTGATTTCTCCTTCTCGGAGGTCTTTTCTGTCTACGAAATATCTAGGAGTTGGGAACTACAGCCGTAGAAGATGTTGTATCGTGAGTCTATACTCTGATATCATAGGCTTTGCACAAGTGTTTTGAGCGATATAGCTTGCTCTATCGTCTATTCATCATTTTCTAGCAAAATGTGGGGAAAGAGTATACGGATATGCGTCAACTTCTGCGACAAGATCATCCGTACAACAAAAGCTCTGTCTACAGCTCTCAGAACGGATATTAACCACACCACCAGCTGGAAGACATGAACCACGCTTCTAGTTGCGTAACAATAGCGATTGTAAGCTACGTTGGAGCATGCAATCACAAGAGAACACTCGCTACTAACTGATCATATATCATCACTCGGTCGGTTTCATCTAGTCGAGAAATATAGCGGTATTTTTCTAGAGAGGAAATTGCTCCAACTACTCTTCGTTGACCAACATTTTTCCTATCTATTGTCGTAGAGTTACCCTACCAATTCTAAAATCTAGCCCGCCCAGCCCAACCGATTGCCCGGGCTCTCAGATCAGCCCACCAGCCCCAGCCCAGCCCATGGGCTTTTCGGGCTGTTGCCTGCACTACCTACCTCATACTTCCTACTGATGTGTTATGGCCCGCCGATCAGCAGCATCTGAACCTCAGAGCATGCACAAATATGTAGGCATTACTCAGATAACAAACACTATTACCTCGGCACGTGGAGGGTAGAAATACAGCCAAACGATTGATGGCATCCGACCTCCGGGCCCCGGGGATTGGCGCGGGCCCGCACTCAATCAGAACCGCGTAAACTTCGCGATTCGACTCCTTAATCTGAGCGAGTGCGTACACAGTGTCTGCTACCACCATGAGATGAGCATACAGTAGCAACAAGTGGGTTGCGATTGATACGGGACGAATATCGCGGTCATGTGAATACCGAAGAACTACCAGGTTTTTGTTCAGTACGTATGCCCACTTTTAGAAACGTCCAAAGAACACGTATTTCCATAAAGACAAGAGCGGTACTGTCTTTCTCACATCACGCATTCATAAGTAATACGTCACCTACAGGCACCGAGAGTTCTACAGTATTGCAATGCACTGCGCAATATTATCAAGCGTGTAGTTGCAGGTTCGTCCTATGAACAAGACTGCGTGTTTAGTTAACTTCAGTAGTACTAAGTGAGTTTCGAATTACTATGACCGGATGAGTACGTATCACTACTGAAAGACTTCCGTGCTTGTAGAAATAGGTGCTTAATAGTACTCTAGGGTCCGTACAATGCGATCTTTTGGAGTATTGATTGATTGATTGATTGATTATTCATACAGCATGGAACCCTAAAGTTATGGCCGATAGAGTTATCTACAATACAAAGTTTTTTGACAAAGATATTCCACCACCAAATCTATACAGAAGTGACAGCAAATCCCTCCGTCCTCGCAATATTTAAAAGTGAGCCTCCGAAGAGGCTCTGGTTGTCGGTTTTTGCGCTGTAGCAGCGCGTCGTAGCCCTCCTCTTCTCCAAAAGGTACCTCCAATCGGTACTACCCGCAACATAACCAGTCTAGCGCACACGGCATGGTGCTCGAAAGGAGTCGTCGTCTCGGGGTTTGCGTAGCTGTCAAGGCCGGGGCCCGATGAATAGCAGCGAAGATATTTGGATCGAAGGTGGGATTGGCAAAAAGCCAGTCGTCGTGGTCAACGTTGTCCTGCGCAAAGCGCTGAGCTCTCCCCCTGGAGTTCACTCTCCTCCCCGCTGTCGCCATATTACCTGCTGGACAGGCTCTCTTAGAGTGATGAAATCGATGATGCTGTGCGGGGAAGCGGTGGTGAGACTTCTTCTGAGGTTCGGACGTAGCACCCGTGGTGGTGCAGTTCTCCGGCCAGGGACCGAGGCTTGAATGATCTCTATCGCTTCATGCTCATCGTCGTCGAATTCGTCGGTTGGGGTACTCAATCCGCGGTCGGAAAGAGTGGACACACACACCATATGAATCCTGAAGCCAAAGTGAGCAGGGCATTTAGTGTGCCAACGCATAGTGTTGGCGTTTTTGGAAGGTTGGAGTGGTTGTCGGAGGTGTATGTTCTTTTGGAGTATCATGGGGGGTTAGTAAGACTGCGTGTTTAGTCAACTTCGGTAGTACTATGTGATCTTCGACCGTATGGCTGCGATATCAGTAATGGAAGGCTTCCGTGCTTGCAGAAATCGGTGCTCACCAGTACTCCAGGGTTCGTGCAATGCGATTTTTTGGAGTATCACGGGGTTTGGTAGATGCAGTAGCACAACTGATTTGCAGCCGGCTGCTTCACCAACACCCCTCCGGCTCGGCGGTAGGGTCGAGAGGAGCTCATACACTTCCTCTCGCCGACAGCTCCTCCTCTTGCTGGCAGCTCCTCCATCACTTCCTCTGTACTAGTGTAGGATTCATATATGATCAGATAAGATAGGAGGAGGTGGGGCTAGTCGGATTGGCGGATCCGAATGGTGGTGGTATATAGCCGGACTAGCCGGATCGGGTAGCACCGAACGTTGAAGGCAGCGGAGGAGAGCCATACAACCTTAACTTCTCCATCATCCTTTGTTTCGCCATCCCCTTTCAAGGCTACGTCGCACTTTATGCATATGTATCCATGTTATGTACATATGACTACCGCTCAGTGACTCAGCGTGCGCATCATCAGCAGGATTCCGCGCTGGGCTGTAGTCTGCAGCCTCGCACAGCATAAGTAAGCCTTGGTCCTACGTGATAACCTCACCCGGTTGGTGATTTGTGGGAACTGGTGCGGCGGATAGGTTCCTCCGTTGTTACATACGTCGGGCTTTTGTCCATCCATTGCTACATACGTCGGACTTTTGTCCATCCATTGCTACATACATCGGGCTTTTGTTCATCCGACTCCATTACGGTGTGCAATCGCTGAGTCGGTGTATGATATATAGCGCCACCCGGCCGTGGGCCCGTGACACGGTCTGACACCGTCGGCCCGTCGGGTGCTTGGCGGGACACGGCAGCTGTTGTTTGTGCGATGCGGAAGTTCGGAGGTCGTACATACGAAGAGAAGACTCGGTCGAGAGAGAGACAGAGGGGTTTTGAAGGACATGAGTCTCAATGGTGTACCTATTGATTATCTGACTTGATAAACAAGCGATGCAAAATAACGGGTAACATAAGTGGTTTACATACCGTAGGAGAAACAAAGGCATACACACACTTTCCCGACATACGTAGGTCTTCCATCGAACTACGTAGCTCTATGTTACTCGAAATGCTTTAGGTTACCGTATCGCGATGCTCCGATCGCTCGGCTGTGGTGACGAATATTTATACACTAACGACTCCTGGTCGCTCGCGGCCTGATCACACTGTGACCGGGTACCAACACGGCACGTAAAACTATCCTGCGGTGACATCCGTATAGCCTCGACGACGCCCGATATTGCACGCCTGGAACTTCCATAGGGTCGCATATGGTCCTGTCAATTTGTTCGGAATTAATCTAACTCGCTGTTTGCCCCGCCGTGACCGCGAGACTGACAGATATAAAAGTGATCTCGCTGCGTCCACCCTGACCTAGTTGGTGATACTCCTCCACTGTCTTTGACGACGATGCGCTTCACTCTTCTCTCGATCCTTTCTCTCGCCGTCGTGAGCACAACCACGGCGCAGGGCGCCAACAGCTCCGAGCTCCTCGTACCCACCACGAACGGACCAGTGCTCGGACACTACGCGGCTACCGCCCCGGCATGTATGTCTCCAGGTCTCCTCAATCCGTGGCTGTATGGGCTAATCCGCTTTAGCGGTGCGCGAGTTCCTAGGTATTCCATATGGCGCGCCTCCGATCGGCAGGCTACGTTTTGCGCCCGCTGCGAAGCCGAACCCGTGGATAGAGCCGATCGACGCGGGCAAGTTCGGTCCTACATGCTACAACGCGATGATTCCCCCGGAACTGGAGATTGTGGCGAAGCCACCCCTAGAAGATGAGGATTGTGTTTGTGCCGCATGCCCCGAGCCCTACTGCTGTATGTCTGGCCTTGCTAAGAGGATGTGTAGCTTTCCATCAACGTCTGGACGCCGACAAAGAAACGGTCAAAAGGCCCGGCGGCGGTACTGCTCTGGACGTATGGCGGTGGGTTCACATTCGGTGGATCCTTCACGCCAGTGTATGATGGCACCAATCTCGTGCGAGACCAGCAGGACGTCATTGTGGTTTCCTTCAACTAGTGCGCTCCACCACCGCCACCAACGACTGTAGTTACTCCTGAATCTCGCTGATCTTAATCCAGTCGTCTCGCCGTCTTCGGCTACCCCGGCTCTCGCGGTCTACCCGCTAAACAGCAAAACCCGGGTCTCCTCGACGTCCGCAGTGCAGTGGAGTGGACACGCGACAATATCGCCGCCTTCGGTGGTGATCCCAAAAGAATCACGCTCTTTGGGGAATCAGCCGGGGGATCCGCCACAGACACCTACCTCTACTACGCTAAGGACGACCCGATCATCGCGGGGGCAATCATGCAATCCGGAACTGTTTCGCTCACCGACATCGGCGTTCTCGGGCTGCCCTTCGGCGAGAGCTGGGGAAACCTCACTCGGCTAGTCGACTGTGGCAACCAGAGCGCAGCGCAGGAGCTGGAATGTATGCGCCAAGTCCCAGCCAAGTACCTCCGCGACACCATGTCGGCGAACAATCTCACCTTTACGCCGGCCCAGGACAACGGCACCGTGTTTTCCAACTACCTTTCGCTGCTGGAATCCGGCAGCCGAGCGAAGGTTCCGCTCCTCGTCGGCTCGAACGACCAGGAACTCCTAGCGGTAAACAACACCGCCGAGGCAGCCGCCACCGGCTCGTTCTCGACGCTACAAACCTTCACGTGCCCTGCGGCCCAAACGGCGCGGTACCATGCGCGGATCGCGCCTACTTGGCAGTACAGATACTTTGGTGCGTTCCCGATGAGGTTCGGGAACTTCACCATGCCGGGAGTGGCGTCGCATGGCGCCGAGATCCCACAGGTGTTTGGGACGTATGATCCCGACGGCGCATCGGAGGAACAGCGCGACAGTAGTGCATACATTCAGGGTGCGTGGGCTGCTTTCGCGAAGGATCCGAAGCAGGGCTTGAGGAAATACGCGCCGAACTGGGTAGGTCACTCACGAGCTGTCACCCGTGGGAGAGGGCGAGTGCTGACGAATTGATTTCAGCCTACGTATAGTCGTGCTTGCAAGAGCTTGGTCAGACTGACTTATAATAAGTTAGGCGCTCTCTCTTTACGTTTGCAAACATCACTAACTACTGTTCAGTCAACCGGGAGCAACGTTCGTTTACCCCGAGAGCTACGAGGCAGGATGCAGTTTCTAAATATTTGTATATACGCCCAACCCTGTAACAATAACAATAACAATCACTCCGCTCAGAACCTTCACGCGAGCCACAAGCCCTCCTCCATCGTCCAGTGATACTTATCCGTAAACCAAACCAGCTCTGCCATGAGCTCAGCCAACTCGCGTGCAGCATCCGTATACGCACAGTGCATCCCCTTGATCTTGTTCCAAAGCGCCGGCTCAACCACTTCTTTCAGATGGCACCCACGGGCCGCGAGCGTGACAGCAGCGACATCGAACGCCCGCTTAGCCGTCAGCTCCTGTAGTTCCCTGCGGAGCAAGCGCAAGCGCCCGCAAAGTTTTCTGTGCTCACCGTGCGCGTCACCGAGACGCCGGATCAGGACAGCTTCTTCGATAGCACGCGCCTCTTGCCGCAGCTGGGATAACTCTCGTATGTGCCGCTGCAGATGCTTGCTCCACCGCGTGAGCTGTGTGAGGAGCTGCGAGATCGCGTGCGGGAAGTGGTGCGCTTGTACGGAGAGATCCATGGTTAGACTGCTGGGTTGTGTGACGGTGGTGGTGGTGGTGGTATTGGGTGATGCGTGGATCCTCCATCTCCTTTGGGAGTCTTATAGGCGACCTTTGTGTGGTTTGAGCCCGGGTCATGATGAATGCTGCGTGCAATCGTTGTGGAAGATGCTGGGTATACGTACCACGTCGAGTCCCAACCATATTCACGACATCTTGACAGTAGGTCCCTCCCAGGTCCGCAGCGCAGGGATAGAAACCGACCGCCAAGACGTCAGTTTTCGCTGTGTCCCACACCATCCTACATCGCTCCTCTCATGGTGGTGGTAGACAACAGTACGCCGAGAGTGTACCAGTGCTGTGAGTCACATAATGTGTAAAGTTAAGCGCAGTGTCCTACCGTACCGTACTCAGCAAAGGCTTGCCTCGAATTTCCTTTATTTCGTTTCCGCTCGCTCCAACTTGACGACCCCGATATATCGTATGGAGGACCGCGGGCAGACGTTCGCCAATCCTCGGCCTTTAGCTTCCAACGCGTTTAAAGGCTCCAGAGTTGGAGCTATGAATGGCGACGACCAAAGACTCCAGAACTCTTGTATGTACACCTCTCTGACGCGGCGTACCGGCAGCTTCTAGCAACCAGCACGGCACGACGGTACGAGTCCGGATACTATTGCCAGCAGTTAATCAGAGAAGAACTTGGAATGATGTCGATCACCATCGTCGCTGACAAAGCCCGACAGCTTGTAGGATTCCGTGTATGACTAGGCGCTCCAAACCTTCTCGCGGGTAACATCCATCGGAGACACCTAACGTCCATTGATGCGCTTGAGCCGGTAGCGTCCGGGCCATGCCGGGGCGACATCATTCCTGTTACTGTGAGCGAGCGAACACGATCCTCCTATACTGGAGTGGCTAACGTCCGGTCGTTATCACGTCGTCCAATGAACGCCAAAATTCGAGAGCTGAGGAGGAGCATCGGAGGTGGCATCGCCTACCGTATCCTGTGATGAGTATGTAGGAAGCACAAAAACATCCGACGTTGACAACATAAGGGAAGACCGCCACGCTAGCCGCTTAGGAACCAATCTGCTCGACACCACAGCCACCACAGCCACTGCCGCCACAGCACCCACAGCTCTAGCGCCACTGGGCAAAACGGCCACACCCACCATGCCCCGCTTCAAAAGGGAACTTTCTACATACCGTATACGAGTAACTCGTTCGGTGCGATTCCGTCCCCAAAGCGACGTTAGGTCATGCTAATATGTACACAGGATATCATTCGCTCAGAGATACGGGCAATCGCGTTTGGATAAAGCAGGGCTGTGCTGAGTCGAGTAAGGGGTAGCTATAGTCCTAACGGGCCGAATGCGACAGTAAATTGGTGTTCTCTCTCATGGGTAGCAAAAAGGCGTGTCACGTGATGCTACCGAGTGATATCTCACTAGTGCTCCACGCCGAGAACAAAAACAAAAACTATCACCACCCCCGGTGGGTGGCTTAGAAACCCCAAGAATTGACAGGCTTTCACCCGGGTTTGAACCGGGGACATTCCCTCAAATCCCCTCGCCGAGTGCATGTCTTAGACCACTAGACTACGCGGGTGTTTTTTCCGTGCTAGAGACAAGAATTCGAACCCCATAAAGTACGTGCTTGGTGCACTCGTGATGGACAAGCTCCGCCACAACGCTGTCTGCGTTGTACGAACGATCAAGACAGCGCGAAGACCACCGCAAGGAGAGCGCCATATCCACAGCGACGCCCGCGAGCTATCCATAGCAAGAGCAGCATGGTATCCGTGGAGCGGAGCAGTAGGGGAAGACTCCATCCGCGGCAGATCCAGCATGATATTCACTGCGGTAGCTCCTTCATGTTCGCCGTGGTCCAATCACCCCCGAGGCTGACTGGCGGCATAGGCCTCTGGACGGCAGGGAAGTCAACGTGCGTACCCGAAATTACGGGATATCCGATACATATCCTGATCGAAGCAGTCTTCGCGAATCGCCTGGATGAATGATGTGGTCCACACAGGTCCACACAGGTCCACACAGGTCCACACAGGCCCACACAGGTCCACACAGGTCCACACAGGCCCACACAGGTCCACACAGGTCCACACAGGCCCACACAGGCCCACACAGGTCCACATATGTCCACCAGCAGGTCCACCAGCAGGTCCTGAACCAAGCAATCATAGGCCATCGGTGGATTCTTGCGTTGGTCCCTCCAATCGTACCACCTACTTACATTCCTTCTTCCGTTGGATCTTGGATCCCACACGTGCGGCTGTGAACCAAGTTGTTTTATTTCTGGACATACTTCCAGCCGTTTTCTTGCTATCCAATCAGCGTGCGCGCCCCACGCTCGACGAGCGATAGCGTATGTACGAATGTACATAACCTTTCTCATCAGCACTCGGACCGCGACGGATGTGACTCCACTTCCTGGCACTAACCAGACAGTTCGCGTTCACTATGGTACGGAGAGCGAAACGACCATGGGCACTACGGCTCGGGCCGCGCACTAGGCCACCGGCCCATCGCAATAGCAATAGCAATAGCATCACATATACTAGAGACGAGTCTCGCGGTCTCCACTCACCAATCTACTAAGTACCGTATAAGCGCATCTCTCGTAAGCACACGGGATATTTCGGACCTCCGGGGGGGGGGGACTGCCGCCCGGCTGTTCGGGTATGCCGAAAGACTTGCTGCCTACGATCCGCACGGATAAGACTCAAGAGGGAAGAGCTGGTGACGCGTCTCCGTATGCGAACACCGTCGCAACGCGGTAAAAGAGCGGATATGTAGCGATCGCTTGTGGGATCAGCGATCGAGGAGCTCACGCTGGGTAGCGAGGTACCGATGGAGGTGCGTTGTTGGGTCCGGTGGGGATTGAGGGTTGGTGTAGTCCGGACAAAGAGGCGGGGGGAGGGGGGAGGGGAGGTAGTGAATGGTCGTATGTACCGTAAGAACCGAGATTCGAGGTAGTAGTGGATCGTGTGGTAATCATCGATAATCGCAGCCCGTGTGGGGGATCCGGGTATCGGCGCTAGGGAGTTACTATATAGTACCTGGTCTACGAGTTCGTTCGGAGGTCCTATTCACGATCTTCAGAGTCCCGAATTGATTGTGATATGCTCTGCTCTTGCTCTGATCTGCTTTCGCATGTCCGCGCGGATTTCGCATGGTTTTCGCATGGCTCGTTTCGTTTCTCGTCACACAGAATCACTCTATCCGAGCTCCCACCCGACGCGTCGTGGATCCACGGAACACCCGTATCTGCAAGGTGCATGCACGTGTTCTTATCCTGTAGGCTGCAGCCGTCTGGGCTGAGCGTGGCGTGGACCTCCATCGCCGCTCACAAACTTGCTCGGTCTAGAAGAGGGGGAAGTGGCTGCCGTTCATGGGAAGTACCGGCGACCTATTGCTGGCTCAAGCACACATCTAGATATCAACAATGTCGTCCGGGGAAACAGCACTGATCAGTGTCCGTTAGAGTTGCAAAGTGCAGTGCAGTGCACATCCAACCCATCCCTCGCCGTCGCTGTCGCCAACCTTGAACGACCAACTGCCGAGCCAACGGCTACACACCTGGAGGCTGGAGCAGGCAGATTCGTCAGTGATGGAGTAATCAGACCGGGCGGGTACGAGACTCGCATTGCACATTCTCAGATGGAGGAGCCCTTCGTCCACGGCACTGCATCGTAAACCCGCCGGCTCGATATGGTATCTATGTCGAGCTTTCTTCCCCGCACGCAGCACCCTGCGTTGGAACTTGGGTGATCGACCAGTATATCTGCTATCATCCTAGGATCATTCATACGGAGGTGGATGTTTCAACTTTCCGATCCGCCCGCAGGCTGCTCGTAGAGCTGTAGTTAACTACATAGGCGGCGTGTCTGCCTGCCACGCAAGTTGACGCAACCAGCAGAGGTTCGATTCCTGCATCCGCACCGGTCAAGTTCGCGAGCGCCGAGCGGGCACTTCAAACTTGGATGCTCACGTTTTGGCACGGTAGTTGCTCAATGCTTATTCTCTGCGGGCTGCCGCTTGGCTCGTGCATACGTGCGTATCCTTCTTCCATCGACTTTCGACTTTCGACTTTCGTCTTTCGATTTCCGGGACTTGGGAGGTTTCTGCCGTGTTGGCGACGGGCGGGGGGCGTCTTCCCTAGGTGGTGGTGGTGGTGGTCACTGACAGCAGGGCTGAAAGCCAGCTGCACACTGCCATACCGGTAGTAACAAACGGTGAAGGTATAGTATAGTATACCTAGTACAACTTGATGTTTTGGCAGGATTTGCCGGGGCGACTGTGCTGCGTGAAGCTTGCTTGCTTCCTGTGCTTCCAGTGCTTCCTGTGGTCGTCACGAACCGGTAGTTATCAAGTTACCCAGCTGGGCACCTACCAGGCTACTTTAGACGAGGATGTTTGTGCTCGTGCTCGTGTTCGAACTTTGAACTTTGAACTTTGAACTTCGTGCCAGCATCTGGCCCTACTGCCGTAGTGGTATATCTACGCAAATGAGGACCACCTAGGGCCCAACTCCCGTAGCGGTTAA